CGTGTGCTCTTCCGATCTGGGGGGGGAGCAAATGCGGCCATGTAATTAGAAATCACGGGGATTTACGGGGCATCGGGCAATAAATCCAAAAAGTAACGGCTAATGGCACGCATATTGACGTATCCATCTGGCTATCGTTCATCTTTCTCACGAGTCCCACACCGCGCGCGCGGTGCGCGCACGCCCCGTATACGCGACGCGCGCCTCGCGGCTACTCCGCGCGAGCGGCTCGCTCTCGCTCGCGCGGAGAAGACGACGAGACGAAAGAATCGACGCCTCCAGAGTGAACTACGGGGCTTTCTTCTTCGCGAGTGGAGGGAGAGAGAGAGAGAGGAGACGTCGCGCCGACCATAAGCACGCTTGATTTACGTTAAAAGCCAAGCTGGGCCCGCGTTGAGTCTTTATCGAGTAGGAGTGAGACGATGATGATGAACGATCGGCGATTTGTAGAGGCGATCGGCGAATGCGCGCATATGCGAAACGGATATATGTGTGTATGCGCCCGAGCGAATCTGCTGATCATCTGCAACCCGTGGCCGATATTCCGAGCGCACAAAACGTAGCTTTGAGAAGATCGCTTTATGTCGAGTGGAAAAATGGCAATCACACAATCGTCTTTCAGAGCAGTTCGTTACGTGTGGTATACAATCGTATCAATTATCGTTCTTTGATAAAACCTTTATATGTTGTAACTATAAAGTTTCGTTATTCATCACATTGGAAATTAAATTCCAAATTTTTGTTAAAACAAAGTTAATTCGAGCTTTAAGTTAATTACAGTCAGTGGCACAAGAGCGTGTTATTTATAATTCTGTTAATAGATGTCGTATGAGTAAAATTTTTATATGTTAATATTTGCAATACATTAGGCTAAAAATGCTTTGAAAATTAGAGTTCAGTTCGGTTTAGTTATTATGTTATAACTGGATAAAACACAATAAATACAGGGTACATAAAATGGCATTTTTACAAAACACTGATTTTCACAATCTCTTTATGTTAACGCGATTGAAAATGGATTGCTATAAAAATCTAGATAAAGAAAAAGCGTGTCTTTATTCTGAAGAAATTATTATCAATTTTATTCGATTTAGAAGTCATGATCTAGAGTTTCCGAGACTTTTACAAAAAACCTTGTAAAAATGCCTCGATATTTTCAAGCCTTAATCGACAACGGAGGGAACTAGACGAAGTATTAAATATAAATGCATCGAAGTGTATATAATATACTTCAAAATCATATAATTATTTTTCAAAAGTCTTTTCTTTCTCAAGAAAAACAGATAACTCTTGTGCCACTGACTGTACCTGAAGAAATCTAAAAAATACTAAGATATACTTTATTATTTGTTCAGATTTTAAACTTACAGCTCTCTAATTTTCGGTATAAAATAAACAATATTTATTAAAAGACGAATTATCTGTTTTTATCAATTAAATATTCCGTTTAATTGTATATTCTGTCCTATATCGTATATATTCTATATACTTTTGAACTCTATCCCACTAATGTCACCATCTATACCAGTAGTTGAATATGTTGCATTGTGTGGCAGGCGAGGCGGTAATACTCTCCAGCGAGCAGGCAGTCCGGATTAACGTCTTCATTCCGAGAGAAACCCCTCGCTCGCGCGCATGGTGCGCCGGTAATCGATCGGTTATGGTAATTCGAGCGAACGTCGAATGCGATCGTTAAAAAAGCTGCGCGCCCACCGTCGGTGGTGCTCGGTGCAGCCACTACGCACTAGCGGCGATAAGTGGCCGCGATGCGTGCAGTTCGATTAACGTAACAACGGGTGCGTGAGCGGCTCGTTCGTCGTGCATGAAAAGGGAGAAGCCCACGGGAGAAATCCGCCCACGCGGTCTACTTGCGATCGCGGAGGCGATACGCGCCAATTCGAGAAATCTATTTTGACGTATTTGCAAGAACGATCGACACTTCATCTGTTAGCGTTGTGGCTGGACAGTGATCCGTATCATTATGACACTTAAATTATTGGAACGTCAGAAATGAAACTGCTGTTACGCACACTGTGAAATATTGTTTCTTTATTTACGAGTTCAATGTTAACGGTGTTTCTTTATGAGTTTAATACGTACCGTTTTGTTTTTTTATCGACGGTTTATTTTTTCTAATATTGACAATACAATGCAAGTTACTTCATCACTATAATGCGATAGAGTTTTATATAATGTTGTGTAACACGTTCGTTACCAAATGACACAAAGTAAATACAATACCACACTTGAAATACTTTATTGGAAATCAGGCTCTGGGTATATTGGCAAATCATGTTGTTATGATTAATTCATCATACTCTCAAGAACTGTTTGTAATTATAGAATAGAGAATGTCGTGGAGTGATTGAACGATAAATAATGATAATGATAATGAAAGTCACCATATGAAAGCTAAAAGTAATCTTTGATAATTTCGCTGTCATTTGAGTTAACTAATAACCGCAAATTAAACTCTATAAGAAATTGAGCAATTAATTAAAGTTTCCTTATACAGGAAATGAGAAGATATAAATGAGTTTTGGAGTATTTAAAAGCTGAGAACAGCGTGGCTGCTTGCCAGTCATGGACACTCTTATCGCGTTATCGCATAATTAAATAATCATGTTCACGCTTTGAGTGACTACCTTTGAAAGAGCTTCAAAATACATGTACTTATCAAGCAGCACGAAGCCTTCGTCGTAATCGTATGTCTCATAAAACTTTACACACCTTATGTTAGTAGGAAACTATGCGTTGATTTCTCTCAGTTTGTGTTTATAATGAGATTTGTATCTAAACGCTGTGCTCTTAATGTAAAGGAATGAAAAGTCTCATTCTGCGTTTAGTTTAAACGGATATATTTTAGCAGTATTATAATTTAAAAATTACTTGCAAAAAAGAATTTAATTTTGGACAAATAAACTATCTCAAATTTAGGATATTTAATTTTTATGAATTTCAGAAAATGTTTGTTTTACTTTTAAATGTATATAGTGTAGTTGTGCTAATTTTTTACCAATCTTGAACGTGTATGAAATTAGTACCTCAACAATAAAATTTCACAGTTCTGATTAGAATGCCGCTTTATTTTGAAGAGACCCCTGTATTCAAGAGTTCCCTGTATTTTATAACAAGAGTTTTGCTTAATAACAATTTTTTAATTTTGATAAGAAGTTAGCCCATTTTTTAAATTTAAATTAAAAATTGTTATTAAGCAGAATTCTTGTTATGTAGGGAACTTTTTGGCTCTTCAAAATGAAGCGGGAACCCTAATCAAAACTATGGAATTTTACTGTTGGGGTGCTAACTTTACACACGCCAATCTTGGAATATTTTACTTTTAACACACTAAAATATATTTCGATATATTAACTTCTTCTGTCGATTTCTTTAAAATATATTTTTATTTAGATACTTATTAAATATATTTTTGTTTGCCACTTTAAGCAATATACGCGAAATCAATTAATTTTCCTGATTTCCATCTAAACATTCTTTTCCACATTACATTCGCAAACGTAGATCATCTTTAAGCAATGTTTAAAGGCGTCGGCTGTATTTAATGATCAATAGTATATAGTTGGGTTACGACCCCGACGTCACGATTCGCAGTAACACGGATGAAAACGAACTGTTACTCGGCATTATCTATTGCGATCACGGAATTGTTTGTAATGTCACTGCTGGTACATTTCACCCCGTAGCTAAGAGACCTTATTCAAAGATGACCTACTCTCCCGAGGCAGATACAACTAAAAGGATGTCATTTAATAATTTATGTCGAGTGGGGGAGATTGCAATCGGCAATCGCTCTTCGTAAATCGAATCATGCTCTGTAATCAGTCGTGCTTACCATCGTTTTCTGCACCATGAAGACAATTCGTGTTGCGCCATCGCGTGTCTCTGTATTACAACGTAAACACACGAATAAATAACGCGGATACGCACAGATCATCTTTTAGAGATTTGCAGCTTTTTACAATTCGATCTTTTTTTAGGTGGAATTTTAAAAGACAATCTCTCTAAAAGTGAATCAGTGGAATCATCACTGATTGTCAGTGTATATCATTTTCCAGTGACATACTTAGAACTGTGACAATTTCAATGTCGCTTCAGTGGTAATACACTGATTTAAACAGTGAATATTACTGAAAGACAGTAAATTTCACTGTCAAACAGTCAAATTAACTGTCTTTCAGTAATATTTACTGTTTAAATCAGTGTATTATCACTGAAGCGACATTAAAATTGTCACTATTTATCACAGTTCTAAGTATGCCACTGGAAAATAATATACACTAAGTTATTAGTGTATATTATTTTCTAAGATAATTAGTGATAATTTGACTGATTCACTTTTAGAGATTTTTAAGATATTTTCATATTAAAATTGTTTATATGGATTACAATACAATTTAATTTCCAATAAGAGAGAATAAATTGCAAATAAAGCACTATACTAAGGAACATTGTTCCGATTGTTTGTTGCAGGATACTCGGACGTCGCCGGGAGACCGGTTATCGAATTCGAGGACAACGTATCCACGAGGGAAACCCTTTCTGTTAGAGAGACATCGTCTTTTCTGCTCTACCTCGCTCGTCTTCTCAGGTACGTTCCCGTCGCGTTTTGTTCGCATAATGCATCAACTTCTGCGCGCGTCGAGATCACCATACAGTCGCGGGGTGCCGATAAATCAACCGGGATTATCGCGAGTATCAGTCGCGCGTGCGGGGCTCGCTGAACCGTGCCCATAATTTATGAATTCGATTAGCCGGGCGACGCGGCCGCGATAATTTTTGCGAAGAGGCGTTTTTTGACTCGCAAGAAAATTCACACTTTACGGCCGCGGCACGCTGGCGCGAGACACCCATTTATTACGGCCGGCATCTGTACTCCTCAACGAGGCTGTTGTAGCCGATAATAACTGAAATCATCCGAGTCCGAATTGGCAATTTATTAATCCTGGCCTGCCTGGGGGAGGGAGAGGGAAGGAGCGCGCGAGCTTTCCGCTAAATAAACGTGATCGACGCCGATGTCGGTAATAATTATAATTTTCCACCGTCATGAAGTCGCGGGCACGCCCACTATAATCGCCGATGCGGAGCAGAGTCGCGGCTTACCGTTTCTTCCCGGCTCGACCGCATGTCGTCCTATAAGCTCTCTAACGAAGCTTCCCCTCGTTTGTAAGCTATTCAATTAACACGCTTACGACGTGCCTACCGATATAACGCTTTCTAATATCGGTGCAACAGTGATTAAACACCGTGAGAACCGAATCGGAACAAATCGACACCGATTCGATTACGGTAAACGGTTTTACGCGTTGCACGTCTAATATTTAACTAGATTGTCAAAAAGTTATCAATTATTAGTTATCAGTTAAATAAAACACATTAGAAACTAAGTTCACTTAATGAGTATAAAATATGTGCAAAATCTGTCTTCTTAGAATGTATTTAGTGCTTATTATCTGCCTGAGACGTCTAATTAAGCTTTATTTCAGTATAAAAATCACAAAGGATTAAAAGGAAATTGAAGAGATTTTACGCTTTAAAAAAAAATAGTTTCCAGATTTATATTTTATTTCTCAGACACAGATTCTTTTCATCGCGCAGCGGCTTTCGATGCAATTGCGCCTCTCGTCGTTCGCCGCGATAATCGCGACGTCATTCCGTGATTCTGCGGCGCGCTCGCGACCGCATTCACATACTCTCCAACTCATAAAACATATCACGCATGATAGCCGCGCCGGTATCGGTCATCACGCGGCTTTATGGTTTTCCGTGCAACCGGTAACGCCGAAGTCTCGTGCGCTTCGTCGGCGCGTATTAGGTGTACGAGCGGGAGAAATAGTTCCGGGACGGCGGCGGAAAGACCGAGACGGAAGGAGCGAGGAGCGAGAAAAGCGCGCGCTATTACGCTCGGGGGCGTCTCTCGGCGTGAAACACGCCGATCTATCTTTCGGCATCTTCGACGCGAGCGCGAGCCGGCGCGGTTCGTCGTTTCCGCGTCGGCGACTCTTCCCCGCCGGCCTGGGAAAAAGTCCCGGCGGAAAATTTCCGCGATTTCATCGACGCTGTCTCTCGCCGCGTCATGTCGGTATACTGCCTTTCATCGTGGGTATCCCGGCGCGAAGTTTAACTCACTCACGCAGCTGATCGGCCGTCCCCGTTGGGGTCCTCGGATCGCGATATATACGATATATCTCGATATATACGGGATAATTAAAGGGGCCTCTCTGGAAAAGCGTTTGCGAGATCGAAGCTGCCGCTTTCGAACTTCGTACGAGAATTAATATGAATTCCCGGTGGAAAGACCGCCGTAACGCGAGACGTATCCTGATGGCGAACCGACGATTTCCCGTGTCGATACCGTATAAAACCAAACGCGTTTGCGATAACGAGACTCGCGTAAACGACCTATCGCTCGCGTTCCCAGGATCGGTATCCACGCCGGAGCGATACTTTGTAACTTATCGCGGCCGAGTTATCGTCTCACACGTGGCCACAATACGCATTGTTACCTGTCGATATCTTTCGTTGCCGGAAGAAAAGCAGGCGTATGGCTTCGGGAGCGCGCATTTGCCGCTTGCACGCGCGAGCTAATCTTCGAGAAGGGGGAAGGCCCGTGGAATCCGCGACGAAAGCCGCGACGGTGTCATAATGATCCTCTGAGCGGAACACGATCGCCATAAATCAGCGTGCCGGTTATACGGCGTGCGGCGTACGGCGCGCGGCGGGATTCATTAGCATTTTTCCGCGGCCGTAGTGGGAAAGCGCGGAACGACGTTGACATAGCGCCTGGCCGGGCTATCGGTGGCAGATTACCCGCGGATAAGCACGGCGGATGCAGATTTATTACGCCTACCGAACAAAACGACGAAACGTCATGGGAACCTCGCGTGAAACTGACCCCGGAATTTCCACATGCGCGCGCGTGTACGCATATACGGAACTTTACGCTTGCCGCGTTATCGCGCCGTGTAATATCTTGACGAGATACGAACGGCGCGGCAGTCTTTCATCTCGTCGCGTAATCGCGCGGAAAATCGTTTAATCGATGGACTAATCGCGCGTGATCGATGGATAGAGTAACAGGGAATATGCAGGCATTTTTTAATTATATAGACATAGATCTATTATACTGCGACTTACGATTGTCAGAAAATGTTATATGTATATTTATTTGTAAAAAACAAATTTGCGATATTTCGACATCGGCGATCATCGACGTTTTGCCACTCTCATAAAAGTGCTGCGTATAGAGAATTAGAGATATTCACCTCTAATTGACCGGTTGTCAACGTTCGTCTCAAGGACGATTTTCACTTGCACGCTTCCTAGATCCAGCGAAACCTGTCTCGCACGTGATAAAATATCGGCCGCGCTTTGATCACGCCTTAGTTTCGCGCGAAATTGAAGGTGAAATGGCGAAAGCGCGGTGTGTACCCCGTTATCCGAACATTAAGTGCACTCATCGTGCATGTCCGCAGGTATCGAGCGAAGTTTATTGGCTAATTGAAATTCGCCGATAGAAATACGGTGGGCGGCCTGATGTCGGCTAATCGACCGCCGCGTTTCCGTTTTGATTGTACTTCCTGGATTTGCATTCATATTTGCATATATTTGCATAGCTGGTATTATGAGTAAATCTTGCCTCTGCCTCGCATAGAACGTATCATTTCGTGAGCTTTGATCTTCTTGGTTTTCGATATAGATATCTTGTTTGCGAAGGTGCCTGCAATAACGTGCAACTCTTGTTGAAAAAGATATTAAAATCTTTACAAAACAAAATAAAAAAATTCTTTATTTCAATGCTTTAAATATAGTGCTTGAAATAATTAATATAGGGTCGTTAGCGCGCGTCACGTATCTCTCCACATGCTAAGTGAATTTTAATTTGTTATTGAAGAATACTGTCAAAAGAAAACAATCAATTGATGTTTAATATGAGAGATAAATTGATGTGCAGACGATAAAATCTTAAGAATCTACGCGTGTATAACGGGCCCGTGCAACTTTCTTAATTCGAGATTGTCATAGTGTGAAGTAACAAGTCATGTTTCACCGCAGCGAAGGCTTTTGCCAGTGGCCGTCTTGAAAGCTTATATCTCACACGGGAGAAATATATTAAGCGTCAAGCGAGACTCCCGCGGTTTGCGTTACGCGTAATAACTTGATTGGTCGCGGTGAAAGGTCGAATCACCAAAAGTAATTCGCGAATGCATCGCCGGGCGAAATTGACCTCGACTCGTCTTTCACCGTTAACTCGCATCGCCGGTTTGTCCGGCGATGAATCGGAGCTTTGATCGTTATATTAAGGAGGAGGGTGAGAAATTGACTGACGGATATACCCGCGCGAAAACGCACGCACGTGTAAAGTGCATTCATGACGAAGCGCGTCTTATTAACGCAATCTTTATTCATTCGTAAACTTGTAATACCAATTATAATGTGCCACGGTGAAAATAAGTGTCTAGACAACTTTTTCCTTTCCTTCTCTCGCGGAAACCAGCTTGGGCGGCATTATCCATGTGACTTTACGTGATCTTACGAACGAACGGATACTTCGTATACGAACACTTTTGCGAGGGGATACCGACGAGTCCGGTAGCGCGATATCGGTGTTCTGCCGCAACCAGATACACCGCGACGACTAATAATTAATAGACGATCGCGCGAGTAAACGGTAAGCCGTTTGGAACATCCCGGTGGCTGGCAACCCGTCGCGTATGTATCGTGTATCACGTGGGACGGAGAGTCACGAGCGGCAGATCGCAGGACGATAGGATCGCGGGGGATCTCTTCGTTGATCCAGTTGTGCACCTGACCGCATTTCCGCATGAGTTATGGACGCGCATCAATCCTTTTATCCCTCCTTACCTCCCGCCCGGTCTCTCTCGAGAAGCCGGCGAGATGATCGTCGGTTCTTCCTGCCCGGCTCCCACCGACACGAGCCACCCTCGTTCTTTCTGGCGATGGTTAACGGTAACGACTTCGGCGAAACGTCCCTCATCGCTATCGCGCGCGCTTTTCCCTGCGGGACGGAGATCCGCAGCTGCAGTTTACCGGCCCACTTTTAAGATCGTATCTGCTATCCGAGGGTTTCACCTTTTTTTCTGCCGCCGCCGCCGCCGCCGCCAACTTTTCGTCCTTCCCTAATTGCTGCTCCTTTTACTTTTTTCTACCTATTATTCTCCCTCGACCACCATGGTGGTCAATGTTCCTCATTCTTTCGATCGTGAAGTTCTCTCTATGTTATCGATAGACATTTATGTCTGCCCAGATTTTTGTATAATTTAAAAGCATTTTATTTCGATCTTCGAAGTTTTGCCTTTGAACATAGCGAAGGAAAAATAAGTGAGGTTTTTGTCGGATTATCTCGAGTATAACATGCACTATATTGTGATCTTATTCGTAATTAACAAAGCTCAATGTGGAAATTTTTAAGAACAAATGCATTAATTGATCTGTTGATTTTGCGACACGTTTTACGTATATAGTAACTAATATAAGTCTAAAATAATTAACAAACAAAATAAATTTTGAGTGAAAACAGCACGAAACTTTTTATCACGATCGTATGTTTTCACGGAAATTATGGCCCATTGGATCTTTCGTGTGCATCCGCTTAAATTTATTTACATGGCATAACGCATGATCCCGGCTGCATATACATCCCATTTTATTAGGCATAAAGATTTATTATTTTCCTTTTATGGCGAGATATATAATTGCGGCTCGTTTTATTTTCTCGCTCTCGGCGGGAAGAGCCACGTGAGTTTTGCGCAATGGATTTTTCTGGTCGCGGTGTGATTACCGTCGTAAAAGCGTCATGTAACGTTTAAATACCGGCGGTATTTACACGCTCGTTAGAGCACTATTAGCGGCATTAGAACAGTATTAAGAATATAGGTCTTCTCGTTTTTAGTGTCAGTTCGCACGATCCGCCGCTGATGAATGCTCTACTTACGTCGAGCTCGACTCTTCTCGACTTTCTACGAGTTCGTCGTCCCTTTAAGGTTCCGAAATTCGATTATTCGACAGTCAGTTATTACGACCGATCAGGTATTGAAACGGTTGATTTTAACTGAACATCCGGGTGATCCATTATTTTTATCTCATTGTCAATACAATTCGATTATTACATTCATTAGTTGATTTTTCTGTACGATTTATCACGCTCAATTCTTAACAGAAATTAATGAAAAATTACGAAAGTTTCTCTCTTAACTGAAAGAAAAAAAAAAATTTTATATGTGTATATATATTTATATGTGTATATATATTTATAAATATATATAATTATACAGTGACACGTTGTTCTCTTGTCTTAATTTATTCTCAAATTTTGCAACTTACGTAGAAACGTAATAACAAATTAACTCTCCTTAAAGATTAGATATTTACCGAGGAAACATGGTATTCTGTCGAATTGATTGTTTAAATATCAATAGCTCCGGCCACGTACTGTTCCTCGCGATGATCATCGTTGCCGAAAGTATCGCGGCCGACGACATACTAACGCTAACTACAACATTTATCTAAACTTTATGGTTTGTGACTAAGCATCAGGATGAAGCTTCGGCATCCTGTAGGCTTAATCGAATCCACCGTGGCAGGGAAAAGCGAATTCTCGAAGTTACAGCAGAGTTAGATATTTCTGTAATATAATTCACGTTTGCTCGGCGCCGTTTCCGGGTGTCGCGCCGACATTTTCTCTCGTTTCGCCAGGAAAGAAGAAATTTATGTCAACGACGATCAACGTCGAACTGCGTGCGCCCCGGTAAAAATGTCATTCGCGCGCGGCCGCCCCGGGACGCGAAATTATCGCTGTTGCACCATCAAGCGCATCGGAATTTTCTCCCGGCGTCAATCGCGACTCGACAGTCGGTCGTGACGCGGTCTCTGTTCGACAATCTTTGCCCACCCAGGACGCAAACGTGGTTTCAGACTCTGTTGCGCGGCGCAGCACGATGCGCACGTACGACGAACTCTCGCGATACCGAAGGCGCCGGTTCTACTGGAGTCTAGGTTGACAGTCGTACTAAGGGTCGCGCAAAAGATTTCCTCTGGGAGTAACACGTTGATTCTTGAGAATTTTCTATTAGCTATTATAATTTACACTATTAATACTTGAATTTATTGTAAATACCAATGTTTTAGAGACAATTTTTTGGACTATAAAGTGGAAAGTATAAAGCTTGTGAATTATATAAAAGCCAAAAATTATAAAGGTGTCCTAGATTACAAAATGTATTCATCAATGTACAGCAATTCTTTACGAAAAATAACTCCGAAAACTTTATACTTATTTCATACATCGTGAATTCAACGCTATATAACGATTTAAATGCCTGGTAATATGTTAACGTTGATTGTGAGTACTAAATCATCGAATCGTTAATTATAGAAAGTAGAAGTAGAAATTAGTGGTTGATTGATAAATTGTTACTATCCGTCTCTCAACGATCTCGAACATGCGGTCATAATTAAAGTCCTTGATTCCACTCGCGTCACCGCGCAGTGACATTGACTTCCGCCAGCCTGGAAGCACCGTCCAACGCTATTACGAAAGGAAACGTGCACCCGCTCGGCATCTTCGCAACGGGATCTTCCCGGTCAGCGACAAAGCCTATATCGCAGCATCCTTTCATTAGCTCTCTCGACGTGTGGGACGTGTAATTTAGGCGAAGCACTAACTGTCAAGCGCGCTAACGGCGATCAGTGTCGACACGGCCTCTTCGGGGCCGGTCTTATCGATCTCGTTCCTGCCGTTGCCGGTGAATCGCATAATCGCATCGTATATACGGGAGGAGCGAGGGACGGCTGCAACGCGTGCTCGCTAACACCTATATCCATCATACGTCAACCGCCGTGCGGCGGTTACATCGCGCGCTGATGAATCCGACGCGCCGAGCGAGGCGAGACGTGGGCGTCTCGCGATCTCGTGTGCCTGTCGCGTGACGTTAACTCGGCGAAATCAAAGTGATTTACTTATCAACAGGATCGCTGGTTCCGGGGAACGGACGACCGCTGTGATCCGACTGTTCCGCGCTGTTAAATCCGCGGGTACGTGCCATTACGGTTACATGGAAACGGCCGGTTCGATAATAGACGGCGCGATGATTACGATGAAGAAGGGTGGTTCGATCCTGTCCTCTTATCTATCATCGTGCAGTAAAACGGAGAATACGCACGAATAACTGAGCCACGTCCGGCAGAGTACATGCGTGGCGAACATCAACAATGACCGGTTAAGGAATATTATCAGACGACTTAGCTTTTTATAGAAATAAAAATATCTTTTTAAAGTTTTTTTTATCGAGTACAGATCAAGTTATATTTTCGGACATATGCATATGTTTGAAAATGTAACTTGATCTGTACTTGATAAAAAAACTTTAAAAAAATATTTTTCATGATAGGGTACAGCAAGGTAACTTGAATAACAGTAAGCATTTGCAAGAATTTCGGAAAAATAAGAGATTTTACGATACATTTCATTAGACCAGACATTGATCTAATGAAATGTATCTTAAAATCTCTTATTTTTCCGAAATTCTTGCTTATACTGTTATCCAAATTACCCCGCTGTATTCTATACGATTCATTACAATGCATAGGACAACAAAATTAGAAAAAAATAGTTTGAAATAATCGGTGAACCAAAACAATCCGTTACTCTACTAAAATTCAATCTCTATAAAGATTACATGTATTCGTTTTCCGTAACCAATGATAGAACGTAATCGGTCGGAACTTTGCCGTTTCTAATCTTTCACGGCACTGAAATCCGGAAATACGATCTTCCTCGGTTCGAAGGTTGCCTCCGCCGTGACTTCATAATGAACGTGTAACGACAGGAAGTCAGGACCGGCGCGGGTTTGATTTTATCTTATGCGCTATCGCTCCAACAGGTCGTTCTTGCTGCATCGGCTCGCGGCCTGCAACTGTATGATTTGCGCTATCGAATTTTACGGAGAGTAGCGACGCGCCGCGCACTCGAAAGTCTCGGTCGCGCGTGCAGTTGCACGTGCAATTTGAGAAGGTTGTCACGAAACGTTGCATAGGCGTCCCCTTCGCCGCTCTCTCGCGTTCCTCGCCGCGATAATGTACGATCGAGGAGTTTGGCGTGCCGTGACAGAGAAATCGAAGGAACTGCCGACGGTCGTAATCAGAAGTAGAACAAGCACGGGGGCAGAAATATATACGCCACGCTCGGCCTGTCGCGCTGATGACGATTTAGGATAGATCGCGGGATACAAATGGTGCAGTACAAAGCTCGGCGTTGTGCCCGCTGGACACTGCACCACTGTGTTGTGCAGAGGAGCGTGATTACTGTATACGCGAGAAGAACGAGTGAGAGAGAGAGAGAGAAGGGGGGGGAGGGTGCGAGTGCCACGGGAGCCGCGTGAGAAACGCTGCATGCTTAATGTCAACCACCCACGTGTCATAACTTAATGCCATTTACGATACCCGATACAACTGGGTTACGTTTAGCCGGCTGAGATTGCGCGTTTTCAGCTGCTGCTTACGGAGAGACGCGATCTCTTATCGCGGTTATAGGTATTGGCCAGGCATACAATTGGGCTTTATTATAGCGACAATGTCACCCCTTAACAGTATAATGAGTCGCTTAAAATGTATAAGTTTTCTTACAGTACAAAAGTATTCAAATCACTGATAGCGATAAAATACTTATTTCCACAAAGAACAAGATTGAAAAATGGTTGCTTTGGCATTGGTTTAATAGCTGCTTTTAAAATTATTATTCATGTTTACATGTTTTGTATAACGCAATTCAAACAAATTCTTGACAATGCAATCACGCGTTTAGCAGCGAGCGGTAGAACGCCGTTTGTTGTCGTGATTTAAGTGCTTCCCCTTAAACTTAACTCGTCGAGCGAATGGCGATCGTGAGAAACGACACGTCGATTAAAATACATAACGAGACACGTCTTACGGGTCCCCTGCACGTGCACGTCGTTTTACAAAAGCGACGCCGCAACGAATGACACGCTTCATTCCGCGGCACGACGACGGGAAGGAGAAATCGTAGCAGCCCATATGTACATGGGAGATCTTGCAATACGTGTGCACCACTGCGACGCGCGGTGACTCACGTGTGCTGCGCACGGAATTCCTCGTCGGAAGCGATAATATTTGCTTAGGAAATTCGACGTTTGTAAATATGGACCGGCGCACTTGTGTGTGCGATGGGGGATACAGTTTCGATAAGCACTTGAAAACCGCCGAGCGCAGGCTAATGCACGAAGCGACGGACAACGGTTATTTTTAGATGTGACGATAGCATCACGCGGCGGACTCAAGTCCGAATCGCATTGTTGTTTTAACAGAAGCGAAAATTATTCTTTCTTTTTTTTTTTTTTTTGGAAAATATTTATATTCAATAATATACCTATTCTCTGGAAACTGTTCTCAAGATGCGATGTAAAATGCCACGAGAGACAGTAAAGCGATTTTACTCTAACGATCGAAGTGACTGCGATTGTTTAATTAAGCATGAATTAATTCCGTTACATTTTTTTCTGCTCGCAAATTAATATTTGATATATATTTTTGATTTTTCAGCTCCGACTGCACAAAAGATGACATCACTATTTTCATACGCGGCTATTCTAAGGAGTGTCTGGAGTTCGTGGACAAAGTAGTGGCCCTGCTGCAGGTAAGAATAATTTTTTTTTTCCAAGGGTGAAGATTTTATCGCGCCGACCGTCATGGAAATAACGCGCAATTCTTGCCTTTATAGGGCAGGGTCAACGTGGCTCAGGCTCTCGTGCTTCGAAATGCCGCAACAACGGATGGCCTGATCGATTCTCTCTTACCTCTCAGTAGCGTTCAGGTGAGTTCGACATCGACGAACAATTAAATCCGCAAATGGCATTGAGAGCGCGCAAGAAAGTAATCGCGCTCAATCGCTCGTCGGTTTTTGTCTCCTCCCTACAATGTTATTGTACGCCATACTGATCCAGTTTCCACGGTGCATTATATTTGGCTTCTTAAGCGCTCGCACGTGCGTTTCGTATCGTAATTGTGTCGCTTGGCGCATTATAGCCGCACAGTTCCCATTGTGACGTTTCTCTCCTTTGTCGGGGCGAAACGAATATCGTTGCAAAAGCTAAAGCTAAAGTATTCGCGACAAACATAATTTACAGTCCCATAAGTACGATCATTGAATGCATCCATCGGGACATTATAATTACCCATAAACGTTCCCTTTCAGACCGTCATCGTGAATGACGCCAGTCTCGCAAAGTATATTCCCAGACGAGAAGAAAATCACGACCAGATGCAATGGATCGCTTTTTACAAGGTAATTATTTGCCTTCACAGTGAATACTTAAACTCATCGATGTTGCAACAATTTAATTGAAATTACGGACATTAAACAGAACATAAAGTGTTCTTATGAACATAAAATATTCTGTACACTATACATTACATAAAGTACGCGGAGACTAATGATTGCAGATGCGGATAGAGCATCTCGAGAATGCGAACTCGCGACAAATTGTTATCGTAACCTGTCATTTAACGTCAAGCAACGAAAAGCCGCTTCGATCGGCTCAATGTCATAACGATGATTCGGCAAGTTTGGCGAAATAAATACACATTGGAAGTCGCTCGAGCGAAATAATTGTATCGATTTGCTCGTTCCATCGCTGGCCTTTAACAATAATTGTGACGGGATTTATTGCTCGATCGTAGCACTGACCAACATTATCAATTTGCCAATACTTCGCTTTATCGATAAATGCGTTCACATTCTAATTGCTACGATTTTTTAATCATTTTCTGAGAACAAATTATATCTTACATGTGATTTTACATATACCCTTTGGGTTTTAATTTTTTTTATAAGACAAGTAAATTAAATTTCTTAAAATCAAGTTTAATAAAGATACTATACTTATAAAAGCTAATAATAATAAAGTTTAATGTCAATTTTTATTTATAATTCATTAATTTTATGTTCGTTAATATAAACTTGAGGAAGATTGGTGAAATCGGATAATAATCGATCGTTAGTCGAAAGTTATGATGAGGAAAAGGAATTAAAAATATATTTGGAGAATGCTGGATAATTATCTTACGTAATCAATAATTTTATATCGTCCGAATTTATCCCGCAGTCGAACCGTCTTATGATACTGCTATAATTAAAGTTTAACCATTGATTATTCCCGGGGATAATTGATTGATTATAAGATTGATCAATCTGTTGGACGATTTCGCAAGATATCGCTAGATATCGATAGGATTTGTATGTATCGTATATAGTCATAGTGATGATTATTATATATTTTAAATTTCGAAGATACATTAAATATTTTATATATATATATATATATATATATATATATATAAAATATATGTAATGAGCTTTTCATTTTATTTATGTTAAATATGAAAGATGATGCACTCTGATAATCTAATATTTACGTTCCGTAATGTAATCTTGACTTTACATCGGCCAATATTAATATATCTTGTCACGAAGATATGTCTGGAGTTTGATTATATAAATGCAGCATTAAATTAATTCTATCAGAAATCGATATCAATCGCTATTCCGAACGCGCGCCACACTCGTCGCGAGTTGATTTAATGCGATTGGTATTTGCGCGCGCGCGATTCGAGCGAACGGGCTGTCGGAGCGAAGAAATCATCGAGATAATAGTTCGCCGTATTTGCTCTACGTGCAACAGATATGCGTCATCCGTTACATACTTGTTTAAACAATGTGCTGTAAGGTTTACAACGATCTGATCAATTAATCGGCTCATTGAATTTCGCAATCGCCGTTTTAGACATGTCTACTTTTACGTCGCTGGCATTCCTCCTGGATACCGGTTGCCGATGAAGGAAATTTCGCGAGAACACCATCGGGAAGCATAAGACATCGGCGCTCTGCCATGATTGGTATTTTGATTTCCCGCAGGAGTACGACAGCCTCATGACGGAGTGGCAATCGGCTGGTCGCAGATTGGCCCTCGAAATGTCGGAGCTGAAGGAATGCACAAGCCTGTCCGGCACTTTGACGCCTCTCGGTCGGCTCCTCACGGACCCCACATTGAGAAGAACGTCTAGAGATGCCGAAGAGGCCATCGCCGCGCTCGAGGAACGCGCGGCCCCGCTTCTACACATCCAGCACGTTAGGTAGAATTTTATATTTATATTGGTCGCACAAAAAAGGCACCGTTCTTTTAGTACGTTCTTTTAGTAGATTGCGTAGAACAAACATTTTTTGTTATTCACTGCACTTTAGTAAAAAAATGATTTTTTGTGTGTGATTATTTCTTGTACCTATATATTACTACTTTTTCCACAAACTAAATATCGACGTTTAATTTTTGCTTTTTTTTATCTTTGTGTTGATATTAATTAATAGTACTGTATGTCCACTTGTAGCGATATCGATCTATATTACATATTTATTCAGTGTGCGAATGATTTCTGTCTTTGAGTGCATTAACTCGAGAAACTAGTCAGATCGATTAAATCAGATACATTAAGCTTGCATCGATTTCTGCGTACTTATGAAGTATGTATCAACCAAGGACACATTTTAATGCGAAGATAAGGAAACACGTTAGTCGACGAAGCACTCAGTTTCGATTTGCATCGTGACCTTCGTTTGTGGTTTCGCGAGTCAGGGGTTCGATCGGATCGTACACGAGCGAGACGGCTACGCGGATTCCTAACGGTGCGTCACGATCACGGTTCCTTTTTATCTTTCCAGATTGTCGGTGAAACGAGCCCGAAGACTGGTGGAGGAGGTGGGTAAGGCCGCCACCAGGCTGGAGTCGTCGTTCGAGTCGCGACGCGCGACTATCCGCAATCTCGCGGTTCTACGGAGCATCGAGGATCAAGCGCACGAGGTAAGTCTTGCGCAAATTAATATGTCGTCCGTGAAGTCTCGTAAATCTTCCTCATTCGCGAACTAATCCGTACTGAAACGTTAGCTTATCTGATCAACATTAACCTCGATGTTGCTATACTCGTGATGGAAGTCAGAGAAGATTATGTAAGCCCGATCGTGTCGTATCTCCGACGCAGTAACGGCATACGTGTATATTTTGACAGATATGGGAGATTATCACGAGATTAATAAGATTTTCAAATACGGAACATTTATGCATGTAATAATTATCGAATGGAGAAAAAAGATGTTAAAATTACTCTCTGTTACAAGTAAAAAAAAATTCATATTTTTATCCACTGATAAGAGAATAAAAGAATTACGTAGGATTGTGACTTAGTTCGTCAATTACGAGCATTATTTACGCGACGATGGCCACTGTGGCCTTGAACTAGAAGATCGTCTATGTACGGCTACGTATAGTTTGTTATTCCGCGTGCGCGCATGAAAGCCCGCCGTACATGGCCGCGCTCTCCCAACTCCGCTCCTCGACGATTACGCCGAAGTTATTGCACGCAGTGCTTATACTAAGCTGTCTCGTACACGCGGGTCCTCCCTCTGAGCCGCGTATGGCCACTCTTTCGTGCGCGACACGAAGCATTGAATTCAGCCAGTCAGCCTCCCTCAGTCGACAATGGGAGACGCACAAAGGACTCCCTATCCTCACTTCCACGAATGAGCTTTCGCTTCGAAAATCTCATCGCCCGTATACCTGGCCGTCGAACGATCTCTCTCGTGTTGACATTCGATCTCTCATCGATCTTTTGCGGGGCGTCAGCCTCACCGACGAACACCGTTGACTTGTTATTCCTCGGTCCTTCGCAAATACGATGCAGCTTTGTCAGCGGTCGTATCGAGAGATTTCTTTCAATATCAAGAATACTTGCCATTCTATGCATTTCTCTACAATTTATTATATATTTAGAAAAATATTTTAATATCTTATAATTAGCGTATAACATATTGCGTTTTATCTCTTCTAAAGATAGATTCTTCATTGAGTTTGGATTTTATTCAAACAAAAAAAAAAAATTGAGGAATATGGGAACCTAGTTAAACGAAAGGATTTAATTGGTTAAATTACACTTGATGATTTCTCGTGTAATTTCAACGGGTCGAGTAATTGTTCGGTCGCTGATTCCGAGAGTTGCCTAAAGCAAACACGCATGTTAACGCGTTTTCCTCATATTAGACGCCACGAAGATCGGCGAATGTGCGCAATCATCTGCCTCCCCGACGCATTACACTCACTATTTCCATAATGACGATCGAGTCCGGGAACGTGATTGGCGTTACCAACGCGTCCGAGTATAATCGATAATGCGATGGCAGGATCGTGCGAATCGATAAACGGTCCAGAAAATGGCGGGGAGAATGGTCGGGAAATGATATATTCAAGATTTTTATTATGGATTTTCAAATTCTCCATTTTTCTCAACAAAATAATTTATTGATAGGAAATTTATTTTCTTTATAACATACATGCATTTATCTTAAAGCGTTTATTTTCACTTTATTTCTTTTTACTTCTCGTAATGTGTGAATGTGTTCTTATGTTGCATTTGTGTGAATTACATATTTCTGGATAAATCTTGAATTTATTGAAAATTGTCTTGCGAAGCGCACATATCGGCCAGTCATTCTCTAATAATTATATGTATGATAATGTTAGAAATCTGTTTTCCATTCCTGCGCGCAACATGATTTTCCATGGGAAAATTTTTGCATCGCATTAAATAAACCATCGTCTAATCATGGTTTTATGCGCATATGTGCAACCTTAACGAGCCCTCTGGGGCGAAAACGAAATCGAGATTGCCGCGAATCCGCATCTTTCGTGCACAAGCGAATCGGAAATTACCGTGGCGGATCGCAGAAATGCTGCCCTTTCCTTGATCGCTTTATAATTATTAATTATCCATCACGTGCACGTAAAGCATGTACCGCCCTTTGGGAACCCTGAGTGTGAATGAATGACCTGGGCGGTTCGCGATGTTCGGGGTCTATAATTTTCACCATTTTTTCATATCCCTCCGTCATCAAGACGTCCAAAACGATCAACATATATGGAGAATAACATTCGTCGAAATTACGAGATTAGATTAGCGCTAAAGGGATAAGAGATGGCTCGTATAAATACAGCCTTTATTTCTATTTTGCGTTCCCCTGTTTCTAAATTAAAAAAAAAAAAGAAGAATAGCTACAGACCTTTGCGGATGTTTGACGAGCTCTCTAATTGATCCAATTAAATGATTATGTATACAATTGCTCAAAGAGCAGCAATTCTTTCTTTTTTTCTTGATACTAGAATTATAAACGCGCATTACGCTATTTGACATTTTTTATTTTTTACTATATTTGCTATACACTCTATCTACCTCAGTACACACAACTGTTAAAATACGCAATGACAGTCGCTCACGAAGTAAGCATTACAAGTCAACCAATCGGCATCGCGGAAAAGAGACAACAATACTTCGCGAGATGCGAGTATTATATTATTACTTAAAATTTTAACTACCAATCTTCGAGAATGGACCAAACGTCAGTAAACAACCACCAAACGAATGCTTATAATCCTATCTAAAAAAAGGCATGATACTCGTATCGAAGTTTGAAGCCTCTTTTCCGCGATTCTGATTGGTTCTGTCATTGCGCTTATTTCGCGAGCAGTTGTCATTGCATATTTTAACAGTTTTGTTTATTGAGATTGATAGAGTATTTGAAAAATGTTAAATAACGCGCGCGAAGCGCACGTCTGTAATGCTAGTTGTGAATACTTACGCTGTCTGGAAAGTCATATTTTGCGAAAGGAAGAGCTAACTTCACGCGCATATGTCTTTTTTTCATATCTGGAGAATGGACTACCAAACGAACACCAATCGAATGGTAGTTTTCGAATTTTTAATAGTGGGGGGGGGGGGACAACTTCACACAGCTCTTTTTTTTTAAAGGATTAAATAAATTTATTCATGATTCTTGAATTATATTAGCGATAATTCAAAAATTAAAAGAATTAGAAGAGAAAGAACTGACTGTGTAGGGCATTAATTCTAATGCGGAGTGTCGACGATCTCTGTTCGAATTATCAAGTTACAACTCACGTTTTCGCAGGTCGCGGAATTATCTTTCGATTATATATTCCTTAACGCTCGTTAAAAGCCGCCGTAAAAAGAAAAAGAAAGGGAGAAACGGCGCGAGTGCGAAATTGACCGAAATGTCGTGCATGTATCGGGCAAGTGCGTGTACCGCTCAATCTCGCTGGGTTCCCGACTCTTTTTCTTCTGCTGAGTTGTTAAGCCCGGACGGCCGGCGCGCGGCTTCCTACACGCACAAAGCATTCCTCGATAATTAGATACAAGATGCGTGCTGGTCGTGTGTGCCGCCGCGTATACGCGGCCGCGCGAAGTCCTATACACCCGACGATAATCGAGACGAGTCGACGACGGCGTTAATACGGCAGCCGTCGGACTTTCTCTCCGACGAAGTCGCCACTTAACGTCACGATTATAATTTTGATCAAATCGATAACGTCTATCCTCGACGGATTTTAGTCGTAAAAGGATAAACGCGCGTTTCCGAGTCCTTCGCGGCGTGTCTCGGTCCATCGGAAAACGGGCGGCGGCGGCGCGGAATTGAAATATCCCGACGTCGGATTCCCGTCGACGGAGTACCGTTGTGAAATGCCGATCGAGAAATGCCGGCTTACTAATCAACGATTCGTCCTAAGTGCATTCTTTTGCATCGAAAACCATAAAGGTGGCTTAGCGTTTAATCCGTGACGTGGGGCGCTTCCTTATTACTACATGCGGTTAATCGCCGCCGCGCGACGTACTATCGCGCGGAGACCAATGCGCGGCTCCAGGGTGCCTTATCGCGATTATTCATCCCCAGCGTGCGGTACTTATTATCTTATTAACCGCGCGATGATGCGATCGGGAATGCGTAGTGGTAATGGGTAGTTTAACGCTTCGTCCGGATCGATCCATCTATCATCGGCAAGTGGTAATAAAGAAGACCGTAGTAGCATCGCGCAGGCGATAACGCGAGACAACATTATCGACCTGATTAATTATTAATCGGAACAATTTTCCCGTAAGCGTGACGTTAATGTGCACGTGGCGCGTTAGCATTTCGACCGGTATATCTAAAGTGCTTGAATAAGGAAGTCAGGATGAATTAAAAATTTGATAATATGTATATAGGTAGTATATACGTTCCTGTCTGAGCTAAAATGTTAAATGTATTTTGATTGTGCGTTGATAAATATAATTTAAATAATCCATATCAAGAAGCTTTACATAACAGGATAATTTAGGATGAACCGTGTTGACAGTATAATTTAAACAATCAATATCAAGGCTTTACATAACAGGATAATTTAGGATGAATCTAATGCCCGTTACTTATTAGAAACCTCGTGTAAATTTCGAGAAGATTTGCGGTAGTAAAAAATTATTGTATATAATTTACATTTTTTTTCTTTGAGTCTGCCGAACATACTATATTTATGTTGCCGGTAGCATCCTCTCTGCATTTGATCGCTCTACCAAATAAGCCGAACGCACGCGATCAGGCGATTTTAATCTGAACGATTTCTACGGATGTCCAGTAGATCGAAAGTGCCATGCTACGTACGGTGGCGTCCCACCGTACGGGGAAGGACGACGTGTCCTGGCAGGGAAGTGGGTCGGTCTCTGACAATTGTTTAATTGTTCGAGCGAAGCACTTTGATCGGGCGTACCCTGCTTTCACGTACGAATGGTCACGATCGTGCGAGGGAGAGACCCAGATAGATATTCAGAATTGCCTCATCAGCATTGCTAAATGAGAATATTTTATTTCGGAAGTTCCTGCGATGGTTCGAACAAGTCTTACCGTGTTGTTGCTTAATAGATGAGCATGTTATAAAAATCTACTAAAAGGTGTAGCGCGGCAATGATCTCTTTTACTACTGCA